CAAAAAAAAAAGGCCATGGGATGCTGCATGTGAGAAACGGGAATATGAAGATGTGCGGCGTATGTGTAACGAGTTTCTAATTAAAGACTCGGCGATGTAAGCCCTCGAGGGACGACGACTCCTTCCGTCTGAGAGCCTCAATAAATTTGCGAGAATCGACGGCGAATGTTTGGAGACGCTCAAGACCAGGTGTCCTCGAGGAGTTTTCTCAAGTCTCGGAGACATCAGAAGGGAGTCTGACCACTCAAACTTCCCACGCTTGAGCGTATTAAAGGACGATTCGCTTTAAAGGATAGCCTCTCTCTCTCGTTTTGCGAGCCTCGCGTGGGGTTATATAGACATCGGAAGCTCGAGACTCAATAAAACACACCGCGCGCTCAATCGCCACAAGCTGTGTCGATTGAGGGAAAGAAACGCAGCAACAGCAGAGTCCTCAGGTAGGTTTACTAGAGGCATTTATGACTTATGGTGATTCTTTTTTGAACATTTTTTTTATCACATCACTCCTAAATTGCTAAGCTTTTTTATTTTCTTCATACACAAAGTAAATTAGCAGCCTGCCCTAATCAATGCGCGACTATGGGATGCTGCTTGGTAGTTTAGTTGTGTAGTTTAACCAGTTAATTGATCCACACTACGAGTCAAAGTTTGGACATACACAACTGAATTTATATTTCCCATCCAGGTTTAAAAGTTAATTGCACATATGTGTCTCTTTCATAGTTTAAAGGTGTGGTAATTTATGTCGAATGTCTTGTTTATTTCTCAATACAACTCCCAAAAAGACATAAACATGTAAACATAGTAAAAATGTGGACTGTAAAATCCATGTGCATCTCAGATTATTTGGTCTCGGAAGAATTTAAGAAATTATTGAGTTCATAATTGAGACTTTTAGATGTGGGCACAGTTAATTGAACTCTGTAACAGAGGCACGTGTGAGCTTGGGGTTTCTTTCTCTTTCTGTCTTTTTCATGTGCTCTTCATGTAGTGTTATTGCTGTCGAGGAGAAATAGACTTGTGGACTAATATAAAAAGTGCCTACATATCAGTAAAGCTAACGTTTGATTGATTTATTTTTAAATGAATGAGTTGGACCACGTTAGTGAAGGAAAATCAGCCAACAAGTGCTCTGCATACATGCGAAATCATTCAGTGGTGTTTAAAAGCACCACATCTCTTAATGAAGAAAATGTGTGGAGAGATTGTTTGAATAGTTTTGAAGACTTATTAGCCTAGAGTAGGTGTGTCCATGCTGACTGGTAGGGAAAGCGTTAATTGCCCTTCTTTTTTTATTTAAGAAATCGTAAAAGCCTCCAAAGTTTATTTTTAACATAAAGTGGACTTTTGCATCTTATAAACCCTGTCACTTCTTCAGCAGACTGCGTGATCCAGGACTTGGGCAGTGCGGGACTTGCGCGCACTCTGGTTGCGGGAGCGATGCGCGCGTTGCGGGCTCCGGTTCTAGTAATGGGGCTCGTCATGTTAATCTGCACTACTGCACAAAGCGACGCCAGCGTGAACAAGGTCGAGAAAACGTTCAGACGGATAATAGACATCATGAGACTGGTGGAAAACAGCGCCGGCGACGCAAGCGCGCAAAAGAAAGAGAGCGCGTTTAAGGACACTCATCATCTCAAAACGGAAACCGGGGAAACTATTTTAAGTAAGTATGGCATTTGATGCACAGATGTAAATGTACCAATGTTAATGCAATGGATAGTAAAATGATAAGTAAAAAAAGTTAATCCAAAATGTCACTTTCTGGTTGTGAAACGTTAGTGGAACATGTCCATTTTCCTACTGAGAAACTGACTTCATACATGACCTTGGAACCAGATGATTAAAAGTCATTGTAAAAATTATTTATACACGTGAAGTTAGTTCAGAGAAAAGCTCATTTGATGCAATGAGTGTGTGCCTTCTTTTTCCCTGACCTATATTTAAGAGGGATGTGACTTACCCACTAGGGCACCAGCCAAAGTCTTAACTCTCGAAGCATTAGGTGAAATAGTTTTGCATTGCACCTGTTGTGGGCCGAGTCAGACATGTGGTATCGGTGGACAGCGATTCCCAGCTAGGTCAAGTAATCTCTGGCCTAGATAAGATTTTATGATATAAGAGAGAAGCAGAAACAGATGTACTCAAAAAAGTGCTGTGTGTTCAATGAATAGTTATAATACTGAATACTAAGAATAAGTGATCACAATGTGTACAGAAAGCTTGTTTTGGGGTCTAAACTGCTTAGTCAGAGCACGTTCATTGCTGGTGATTTGTCTGTGCTTCAGAATCATCCCTCTTGAAGGATCAGTGGATATCCAGGGTTTGACCTTTGAGTGTTTCTTTCCTTTCGCAGAAATCTTTCCCAGAGACATCCCAGAGAAAAAAAAGGTTATCGGGATCTTAACAGGTGAGAGACTTTAGAGTTTTCAGTGACCTCGAAACAAAAATGGTGTTTGAGAATTTTAACCTGGCTGTTTTTCTTTCACCAGGTCGTCTTTATTTCAGTCAAAAATGCAGGAAGCACGCCTACAGGCTTTATCATAACACCAGAGACTGCACCAGCCCTGCATGTGAGTACAGTCAAGCATTCCCATCTCTTCAGACCCCACAAACAGGTCACATCTCTGCCCACATGCACCACGACCCTCTACAAACTGTCTTTATATTCATGACAGTCTCATGTCGGCTAGGTGCCCCTGATTTACCCCTGCACATGGAGTTTTAACACAGAAACAGTATAGGCTACAAATTCAGGACTCATCCAGCTGATTATCCAACTCATCCAAGCTTTACTCCTGTCCTCAGACTACAAAAGATGCGCACGACTTCTGACGCGCCTTGCGGAGAGTCCGAGATGTCAAGAGGGTTAACTTTACCAGGTAAGCGACTTTTTAATATTTTTTTGTCTCTGTGAATGAAGGTAATTCAACAAGAAATTGGAGAAGAGAGGGAGAATGCAGGATTCCCATGGCCCTGGAAGTCATTAAAATTGAAAGAATTGAAAAATTAATGGAAAAGCCTAAATTTCTAAATCATAAAAACATCACATTTTATATACATTTATTTTTACTTTATATATACAGTTGTGGTCAAAAGTTTACTTTTTTTACTTACACATTTTTACACATTACAGAATCTGCAAAATGTCAATTATTAGATTAATAATTATATATATAAATGGCATGGATTTTAAAAGCATTGATTTATATAAATAAAAATACATTAAAATTCATGTATATTATATAAACTGTATGAGATTTAAAAAGCACATATCGTGTGTGTGAAATATGTATGTATATATATATATATATATATATATATATATAGATTCTAGATTGAACTAGAACATTTGTTTTATATCTATATACGTGTGTGTGTGTGTATTTATTTATTTATTTACTTACATTAATTTGCCAGAAATTGTGGGAACACTGGATATGACACCGATTCAAAGCACAGAAAGATATTAAATATGTAGGTAAATTACGAAAGCAAAACAAAACTGATTTATTCTGCAGATTCAGAGAGGACACATGAACTTAAACGTTTTATGACAGAGAACACATTCCAGGATTAGATAACTTATCCAAGCTATTACAAATGTGATTTAAGCAAATCTTAAGGCAATGCTTTACATTTCAGCACTTTTTTTTTCTTCCTAAGACCACTTCGGAGGGAGTACATGTAACAAACCCTGTTTCCCAATTTTTCACAGATGGAAAAATTTCAGATGCATCCAGGTGCACACATGTATACGAACACAGCCAAGTCTGAAACAGCACTAAACTTCACTTCCTTTATCAAGCAGGTTGAAGCCAAACCAGAGTGACCCAGAAAAAAAACAGCAGTCAACGTGCCTTTGGACAAGAGAAGAGAATTTAAACCAACATGCAACATTCCACATCATCAGCACATCGCGTCCAGAACACTGCTCTGCCTCTCCGGAGAATAGATGTGGGAAAGAATTGATAGAGCAGTAAACGGACACAGTATAATGGGATGCACTTGCCCAAGGATGGTCTGCTGGACTCAGCATGGAAACAATGTTAAAACACAGGATGACAGCGAAAGAAAACAGAAAACGCATCTGGCGCATTGGGTTCTGAACCTGTCTGCCAAAAAATAAAACCATTTTCCATCGTTTCATCACGAAAAAAGGGATTGCCATGGTTTTGCGTTTTATTCTCATCAGATATCGAGACTCGTAACAGTCAAGTGCTGATGTTTCATTTGACATGCCTCGATGGGGTTACAATTCAGAGCCGTGACCACAAATTGTGTTAGTTCACTGCAACAAGAGAGAGATTTGCTTTTCTCTGTGCTAGAACTGAAAACCAGTTAACTGCATGAATGTTTCCTTTCGCTTCTGTTTGCCAGCAAACAGGTAGATTTTTGCAGTAAGTCCGTGAAAAGCTTTTCGGTTTTGTGTGAGACTGTGAGTGTATGACTGTGGAATATATTCAGTATATTTTGATATGTAAATGTTGTACAAATGAGACTTTAAAAGAAATCTGTATAACAAACATATAAGCGTTTGACGTACGATGGGATGTGTATATTTAAAAGAAAATATATTTAAATAAATTATGATTGTTTAAACACTGTGGTCTTTAATGTTTTAAAAATAGACCAAAAAAAATGAAAGGTTAATCTTCTGTAGCATAAAACATATAGTTTAACAGCTTATCTTGGCATCAGAAAATACATTTTTAAGGGAGTTCAAGATCTCTTATCACTCATGGTGGATGCTTTGGATGCTTCAGAGATATTGAATTTTTTGTCTGTAACCACACTGAAGATAATTTCTGTTGATAAATATCTTAGCGACGAGGAAAATTCTCCAGAGGGTTCCCGAAAAGATGAAGAGAATGAACGGGAGAGGAAAGGACTGGAGGAGAAAGGAAAAGTAATCAAAACAACTGGCACAACCACAGTCATAGTCAAAGAAATGAGGGGAAAAGCCATAAATATGTACTCAAATTTTGCTAAAAATTAGAGGAAAGGCAAAAGTGATTTCAGCATTTTCAGCCGGTTTATTTTGGTGAATTTACTCTCTTCAGAGAGTATGGTCAACAAAAGAAGTTTACAGCTGCTCAAACAAGCATCCTATGACATTTCATTACAATTAAAGACAAAGTGCTTCTCTATACGCTGCTATTGTTTGGTTTGTGTGTTCTGCTTATGAAGACACTTATTTCAAATGGATATTTACATTCGAGCATCTCGTGATGAGGCGTTGCAGGTTTCAGGGGATGGTCGCGGTGTGTGTGTGTGTTATGAATGCTGCTCCAGGAAGGCTTTGCAGCACCTCACACACTGTTCATATACCGTCTCAAAGTCTTTATCACTCCCCTGCAAGTGAAAACAAACAGGAGCCATTAAAATGTAACTGTAAACAGAAATTATGTGGCCAAGCATAGCAGCAAGAGACACAGGTGAACTTAAGAATGACCAAAAGACAGTAGAGCTGAAATGATTTGATAATCGATTAAAGGGGTCATATGATGCGATTTCAAGTTTTCCTTTCTGCAGATTTAGCCCTAATTCACAACTAAATCAATTAATTTGCTGTCTTAACTTTTCTTTAAAATATTTATGCACATTATTGAACCAAAACAATAAATTTTTTGCCTAATTTGTGCTAAAGCAATACCAATGAACTACAGCTGTCAGATTATATTAATATTGGCAGTAGAGCTGCAAGCAGATTAAATTCTATACTATTCTGTCTAAATAAAACAGCAACACTAAAAACTAAATGTTTTAAATAGATTTTTAGAATCATAATCAATGTACAGTGAAAGAAAGTCAGCCAAGCATTTACTTTTAAACAGTTTTCACTCAGAAATTGCTAGTAAATTTCACATGTAATTAAAGGGAAATTGCACGAAACACATTGAATTAAAGGGGTCATATGATGCGATTTCAAGTTTTCCTTTGTCTTTGGAGTGTTACAAGCTGTTCGTGCAAAGATAAGATCCGTAAAGTTGCAAAGATTAAAACCTCAAACCCAAAGAGATATTCTTTATAAAAGTTAAGACTGGTCCACGCCCTCCTAAAACGCCTCATTCAAACACGCCCCCACAAAGTTACTGTGTTGGAAGATTTGCATAACACCGCCCAAATGTTTACACAAGGGCTGTCCAAACTCGGTCTTGGAGCGCCGGTGTCCTGCAGAGTTTAGCTCCAACCCTAATTAAACACACCTGAACCAGCTAATCAAGCTCTTACTAGGCATAGAAACTTCCAATCAGGTGTGTTGAGGCAAGTTGGAGCTAAACTCTGCAGGACACCGGCCCTCCAGGACCGAGTGTGGACAGCCCTGGTTTACACAAAGGCGGCGTAACTTTTATTCTCACTGTAGTGTTGTTGCCGTCATGGAGATGCGGTGTGTTTCCATATATGGTAAGGAGCATAACATTCCGTCACACGCTTGAGGTATTCGGCCAATCACAACGCAATGGATAGCTGGCCAATCAGAGCACACCGCGCTTTTCAGAACGATTAGCTTTGTAAAAATAGATACATTTGTATAGACTGCAATAATAATATTAATAAAGATCACACAAAAAATTTAATAAAGGTTTCACACCAGTGTTATTTTAATATTATTTATATACTAATATAGTATTTATTCTTATTCTGAATTGGCTTTTATTATAATTTTCATTTTAGTTAAATTTTTATATGCTTATTTCAGTTATTTGCCAAGACAACATTTCTCATTTTTGTGTTTTTAAGTTTACATTTGTCATCTTATATTTATATTTTTATTTTATTTCAGCTTTATTTCAGTCACCAAAAATGATGTTTAATAGTTTCACTTTTGTTAATAAAATTTAACCATCAGGTTCTTCTATAAGCTCAGTTTGAGAAGTTGCTGTGCTAAATTGCCATGGATCTCATCTTTGGACACACAATGTACCACCTCCATCAAAAGAAACTGCAGTCAAAGGACCACACTTCCTCTCACACTTGAATCTTGAGGGACTAAACAGGAAATCTCAGCTATCTGAAGAGTGATCATCACCACAAGAGCATTTGGCTGACGAACTGTCTGGTTTCCTATTCTGCGATGGCAGAAAGGCCTACCTACTTCAGCCAGCTGGTTTTCTGCCATGAAGAAACACTAGAGAGGAAACATCCAACTTTACACCTTCCACGATTATCTTCAACAATCTCAATGTGGCTGTGGCCCACATGTGCTGGAAGCCTTCAGCCTAGGGAAACATCTTCACAATGTGTCTTTAATCAGTCCTTAAGACACCCTCTCACATAAAAGCGAGTTTTCTGATCTTCACAGATGTGTCTTGGAGAGCTGGTGGTGTGAGTGGGATGACCTGACACTGTCTGGAGGAGGAATGCTAATGATCTCAGTTGGGGTGACCAGTCAGGTTCTTTCCAGTTTCTATTTCTCAACACACTCACCCGGACCCTCCCTCTCATAATCGACACTGCTCCCTTCCAAACATCAGTTTTGTGGTTTTACAAGCTGGCTAAATCAACCGCTCTGTCATAATTGAGTGTTTGTGACACTAAGCACCTCTGTTTAAAACTCTAAATAATACTCTTACATTGGCTTCACATTAACAGATATCGAAAGACCACAACGCACACACAGTTTCATCCAGAGCTTTTGACCTAATTGTTATAGGGTGCAATTTTGGCATCATTTACTGCCCTTCGTGTTCCAAACCCTCCATGAAACACAAAAGGAGATGTACTGAATAACGTGGACACTATTTTCCATGCAATAACAACAGAAGGAGGGCTAAAGCTAGGGCTGGGTGATACGGCAAGTCAACTAGTCAACTTAAAATTGTAACTACATCATTCTATTTATTAACCATCTGGTTAAAGAAGGTTCTTTTCACGTGAAGTGGACAACATGGTGTTAACGTAAAACAAATTACTTAAATATCTCTGCAGAAATGATGCATGAAATATGAAGGCAAATAATGTACAAGCTCGTCTTCAACATATCCTGTATGTTAAGAAATAATATAAATAAGAAAAATGCTAAATATTACTTACAAAAAGACATTCTGTTTTAGAGGTCAAATCAAAAAGGCAAGAAATTTTAACACCAGTAGACTATTATTAACAATAAATATAAATTATAAAACATAAATATATAATATAAATTTAAAACAAAGAAGATAACAGCATCTTTCAGCCTGTCACCATCATGTAAATATTAAATATTAAATGTAGTTCTTTACAGGTTTTTGCATTCCACTGTACTGCTTTTCCATTGTTTATTTTATGTAAATATGCACTTGACAGACCTTGACGTCTTGCACATGAAATGGCATTCTAAAAACGTGGCGCTCGAGTGAAAAGAAGTTCAATTCGCATCTCATGACCTTGTGTCCCCATTCCACTGCCTGCGGGGTTTTAATGCAAAAACGTATTTTGTGAAATCTGAGACTTTGTTTCATATCAAAAGTAATAAAGCACAACATTTATTGCGATTTATTGGATGGGAGGTGCCCTATACAATGTTCCGTTCATTAACTGAAAACAGGCTAGACTAATGGATTCTTGGTATTTAAAGGGGTCATATGATGCAATTTCAAATTTTCCTTTCTCTTTGGAGTGTTACAAGCTGTTCGTGCATAGATAAATCCCTAAAGTTGCAAAAACTAAAGTAAAAAGACAATATAAGTCATTATAATCAGTAATTATTATGTCCCCACTGGATGCAACAAATGCCTCGTTTATAATGGGTTTTATTGGTTTTGTCTCGTCGCGGCACAAGGCATCACAGTATGGTAAGGGGCGTAACATTTCCGTCACACGCTTGAGGTATTCTGCCAATCACAAAACACCGCCCAAATGTTCACGCAAAGAAAGAAGGTGTAACTATTATTCTCGCTGTATTGTTGTTGTTGCCGCCGCCACCGCCATTTCGTGGAGACGCTGTGTGTTTCGTTGTGAAAGCGAAACTACTTTGTTTGGCCTTTCAAGAGAGGACACAACTAGAAATTAGTGGTTAAGTTGTATTTACAACACTGTTCCAGAACAGTTCAACCCAAATATTCAGATGTGTGCAGCACATTTTATGGAGGA